TTGCGCCATGAAAGGGTGATGAGCGAAGTCCACCATCTGCCCGACAGTGGGGAAGTCGCAGTTGAGAAACTCGTTGCGACCACGGACACCGGTTTTGGGAGCAGCGGGAGGCATAGGATTCGAAGGGCGAAACCTCAAGGGTTACCCTTAGGCCCATGCTCAAGAAGCCTTATATACCAGCGAACAGACGCCACGAACGATCAAAGCTGAACTACCTGGCTACCATATATGGACTTCCTCGCCAATCACATCAGATATCTCTTCCCGATCTGGACAGTTCTATGATCGCTGTTCTAAAAATGGACTTATGATCAGAGGCAACGCGCAGACAGAACATACGAACATACCAAGGAGAAAAACAATGGCTCACTCTTCTGGGACGAGATCGATCTTGTAGAACAGCTCCCGCAACAGGCCGTTCTGATGGAACTGCGGATATTCCATGTCCGTATGATCAAGACAGGCAGCAGCCACGGCCGTAGCACGGAATTCCTGGAGAATAGACGAACAAATGGAGAGGGCTTGATGGTCGTGGTCCTCCACGTCGCACAGTCAGCCCAGAAGCACCATGATAATTGACATCATATTTGCAGCACAGCCAGGAACGTGGTAATTTTCCAGGCTGATGCCAGGAGCATCCTGAAGCAGGAGGGGTAACATCGGCGTGGTCTCGATGAGCCCATGATACACGCACACGTGGGACAAGAAACGCTGCCAAGGAAATATTGATCAGAAAAATTAAACGAAGAAGATCTATGCACAAGTTATGCCAGAACATATGAAATTCACGCACAACGGTACCCGCTAGGTGCAGTGCAAGGAGTCGGAGTTCTTCCTTTTCGGAGGAAAGAATGTCAACAGGACCCTGAAGTCCACCCTCGCCAACGGCGCATTGTTGAAGAAAATACACGGCAGGACAGACCCGAGCCTGGAGAAAGATGTCAATGGAAGTATCAGGTTCCCAGTGCGGATCAGATAATTCCTCCACAGAAAGGAGGAGCCTTTCAAGATAATGGCGGTAATTCACGAGCCACGCCCGCGGGGGCATAATTTGCAAAGGACGAAAAGAGGAGACGATCGGGGTGGCTGCAGAGGCCCCCATTTATGGACAACAGAAGAAAATCAACCATCAGCTCAGATCAAAACGAATTTCACCCCTTGCGACTGGTCGTACCTGCCGTCCGCTCCCTTATTTCGCTTGCCCCTCGCCGAAAACGCTCTCCTAGACTCCTTGCGAGGCGATAGACACCAAAAACAATATTATTGGAGGAAGGAAGCAGGAGAAATACTCAAAGGAAAACACCCAGTCAGATCGAAGTGGACTTCATGCCTTGCAGTCGTTCGTACCCGCTGTACGCTCCCTTATTTCGCTTGTCCCTCGCCAGAAACATCTTCCCGGACTCATTGCGAGGCAATAGACACCAAACACAATATAATTGGGCGGAGGACACAGGAGAAGCAATTGAAGGAAATTACTCGGAGGCACTGCTCGCGGGAGGAGTCACCAAGCCGGGCATTGACCTATATGAAGCCTCGCTCAACGCCCTTTCCTCTTCCTTCACGAAGAATTCATCCGGAGGACCCTGCGCCTCGCCCATCCTCGCCACCAAGATGTGCATACTGCGACGAGTCGCTGTCTTCTTTATCACGTTCTCGACAGCTTGGAGCATAGCCTTGAACCCCGCTGCTCGTACTGCGTCCCCAGCAGAAAGGGAGTCGGACGACCGCGATGGAATTCCTGGGGGCGCCGCCTCAAATGAGACGGGAGTATGCGCGGTGTGTCCGCACAAATGCTTCCTCGCAGTTCCCCCTATTCCAATCTCACGCCAACGGGCGATAATCTCATTGTACTTAAAGGTGTTGGCCAACAAGTTGTCAGTGGCGATGGGACAGAAGTCGGTCAGACGGCCCCGATACGCGAAATTGGCCGAGATCCAGTGGTTGGCATTGTACTCAGGGAAATCCAGATGAGCCTCGTCGCCACTCTTCTTCTTCGCGAGGAATGTCGACAGCGCAGCACCAAGCAGGAAGCCTGCCTGCGCATGGGCAACACGACCGTCCATGGTCTCTTCAGGACCCTCGCCAATGTTCACGACTGGCTTGTCCTCCCCAACGAACCCCACGACGACCAGGAGCACCTGTATGATATGGAACATCCACGCAGCCTCCGAGGGAATCACGGGCGGCTCGTATGAGATACGGAACTCATTCTGACGAATCTGCGCTGCGAAGAACTGGCCCATGTCAGCGAACGGACGCGGCTTACGAGGGACGAAACTCACCATATGGCGGACGATATCCCGCACATGGTAGCGCAGTTCATCGCGCTGAGGAGTCATCAGGGACCTCACGGTGTCCGTGGCATACAGGTCAGGGAAAACGGCCATCATGACCAAGAAAACCTTGAAGCGCAGGTTGGATTGAAGGAAGGTGGGGAGTCCTCTATTGGGAATGAAGAAGCGGTTCGACGGCCACTGCACGTTGGTATCCAGGAAGCGCTGAGTTGCAGAGGCATCCATGAGAGGAGAGGAGAAATACTGGGACGATGAAATCTCGCGAACGCGCCTTTTATGGATTCATTGACCGGTACCCGGTCAACAGTAAAGCCATGTGGGAGGTGTGAGGCTGGTGCTTGTGCTACGCCCTGCACACCGCCTCATGGCCCCTTCAACCGAGTCCAGGACGAGAACGTACAAGGCGCCCGTTCATCCAAATCGGGAACCAAAGTTACCAAATCCGGTTTCTCATCAAATGCATGCAGCTCACGCTCCCCATCTGACCCTCTGCATTGCACATACCACCCATCCGACCATGGTGCAACCGCCGCTGAGCGCCCTCGCCATCGAATTGCCCTTCCACAAGTTCGTACCCCACATACGAGCATGGCGCTGCATGCTACGGCCCACGAGAATGGTACGGACCGACCAATAGCGGCATCCTGGGCTCGGTATCCTCTTCCCACACCCGAGAAGTCATCACGCTCGAACGCAAGCCTCATCCAATCCAGTTTCCACTCACCTAGACCACTTGAAAACCATTCAGATGCGTCCTGACGTGTCTTCCGCCAATAACTGACCTTTTATGGCCCAGGAATCCGCTCTGCTATGGAACGGGTCCTGCGTCCGTACCGATTTGCGTGTACACTCCATCCGTTCATGGAAACAAACCCCAAAATCCGAACGTAAGCCTTGCCCGTGGCCCCAAATACTGAACGCACCCTATGCAGTTCCTGCGCAAGCACCCTCAAATGTGAAAGGGATGGAACCGAACGAGTGGGAATCAAGGGGACGGTCGAGAGGCGAAAAGGTATAAAAGGATAGCAGAAAAGGGTGTTGTAGTAAGTCAATTTTGGAGCTCAGTTCTCCCCACCACCTGTACCCCCACCTGTGCAACTAAGCCTCGCTCACACGAGTTGACCACATCCTCACTTGCCTCTAGCAGGGCACTTTACTCTCACACCTCCATTAGCAAGGTCCCAACTCATCGGACCCCAAGTCATATCATCGGGCTTCCCCATAATAGGATCACCAACTTCGCGAGCTTCACGCTTTGTAGAAGTCGGCCTGGGCAAAGCCATATTGGTTTAAATTGCTGTCTGCCACCCAGCGTCACGACCGGACGACCTGTACGTTCGACTGACCAGCACCAGTCGGCGTCGCTGTCACTTGCTTTATAACCGTCAAACATTGTATTAAGCCTTCCACCTTTGTTGGGAACACCGGGGAAACGCGAGGGAAGGATTGCAGCATAGGCATCGGATTTTACAGGAAACAACACGTCATTCATTCGAGCTTGTGACCTGGGACAGGTAACTATCACCCCCACACCCATTTACAGCTAACAGCAGGTACCCCCAACACGAACCCACGGAACGTACGCCTCGTGTGATCCCGTGCAACACTCTCACTCGGACCACGCACGCGTCCCAATCCTACATCCCCACTATCCTCCAACACTAAATAACCCCTAGAGGCTGAACGTGCTGTCTATTTGATAAAACAAATTCTCATAGCGGTGCTGCGGTCCTTATCACAGCGGGCGCTGCAGTTAGCTGCGTGCCTCTGTCGGTAGTCGGGGATGTAGGGGTCGAGGGTGGGTGCTCGACGAGGCGTAGAGGGCAGTGGGTGCTAGACGAGGCGTAGAGTGCGGCGGGCGCTCGATGAGGTGTAGAGGGTGGTGGGTGCGAGAAGAGGAGTGATGGGCAAAGCAGGTGGTGTGCGGGGCAGCTGAGTGCGCACATCGAGCGGGGTGGTCGAACTGGCTGATGATACACATGGGGGACAGAGAGTGGCGGGTGGGACGTGGAGAATAGGCGTCGAGGCAGTAGTGTGCATGCCGCAGGTGCGCGCACCCAGAATTGCGTGTGTTTGGAGGGAAGAGGTGGGATTCACCTGAAGACGGCCAATGGGGACGCGAGGAACAGAGGAGCGCGATGTCGTGCCTAACCAGAAGCAGAGCATGTGGTCTGTATCATGCAGTGTCTTCGTGCAGTAGACGGTGAAGAGGCTGAGGGCAACTGTCCATTGCATGTGTGTGGGGAGGTTAATGGGAAGGATGAATATATGCAGTGTGTGAGGGGGTGGTGGCAGAACTGGAAAGTGTATGTGGAAGAGTAGTGATGGAAAACAACGCACCAAAAACCCACAGTTGTTTTGCTAACCCGGGTCCATCGCAGCACAGGAACAGGTGGGGGATAGGCCATTGACGCCAGGATATGGTGAGCCAGAGCATCTGAGATTCAGCTGCGCATCTACATAAGTAAAGACAAATATTTCAGGATTCTTTCACACGGTAGATGAGAGAACGCGATGTGCGCACTGGAATATTGAGACAGTATTAGGTTGGCCTGCGGGTGAGGGGTCGACATGCTGTGAGGAGTGGCTGTGTTCCAGCCACTGCTCTCAGGTGTTAACCCAGTAATATCTAATATTGCCGAGTTTAAAAGTTTAAAGAGTTTCCCATCACGTGAAGTGCTGGAGTAACACCTGGATGTTAAGAAAGGTCGCTTAGCTCAGTGGTTAACCTTCGGGTTAGAGCATCCCAGCACAAATGGGAAGGTCCTGGGTTTGATTCCCAGAGTGACCATTCTTTTAACCCTTTTCCACCTTGATCATGTAATCACACTCACAATGCGAACGGAAGGCTGATGCTTGGCGTTGAGCAGGCAAGTGCAGATATTAAGGGCGGGATGTGAGACTCCAGAGGACGACATTTGATTGAAAGTGGGCCAGGCTTGAGTGAGGAGGGATGAGATCTTCAGCCAAGAGGCAGTAGTACCAGATTAGGATTAGGCAGTAGAGATAGCAGCTGGCGTCAGGCAGCGGGATTGAGGTGAAGCGAGATGGTGGTGGCAGAATTGATCACTGTGGCGCTGACAAGTAACCACGGCACAGGCGGGGTGGGTAGGAGCAGACACAACCGGAGTTGAGCGGGCGGGGAAGGCTGAGTGTCACGTCGGCAGGTGTGGGAAAAGGTGAAGCCCTGCACCTTTGGCGCGAAAGGTGAAAAAAAAGGTGCGCCTTTTGCACCGAAGGAATGCAACCGTTCCAGGTCGGCCGGCAGAGTTGTCATGGGGAAAGGTGTGTGGGAAAAGGCGGGTGCAGGCGCCACCCACCGAGACAGGCCGGGGAGGCGAGATGGAGGCGAGTCCGAGATCTCTGAGGAAGGCGGAAGTTGGGTTCAAAGGTGGGCGCGGTGGCTACATCATCATATCGTAGTAATACCGGTGTGAAGCATGGGAAAGTGGGAAGGGTGCAGGTTCATCCTAAGATGGCCCAAATTCTGTACCCTTGATCTCGGTCAGTTGGGCACAGAAAAATCTGAAGAAAATTGTAACATGGAGGTAAATGGTACAGAATTTAGTCTGCGGAAGAACGGCACCGATATGATAGGTTTGGACCACCCGGGATGGGCAAAGGTGATGAAAAACACAATTTTCACCCTGTCAGCAAAGAGCGAACGAATAAAGGGGTTATGGACCCAGAAATTTTGGTGGGTGTGGTTGGGATATATACCTACCATTTGCCCCCACGCGCCCCAGGTAGGGGCAAGGGAAACATATCGAAAATTGGATCACAAGCGCGAAAATGGCAAAACCTGTGAAAAAATATCCCAGAAGGTGGAAAGCCAAACAAATAGACCTCATTGGAAAGGTGACGCATGTGAGTACCTCAGAAAATCAGGCAGGACCAGGGGTACATGCAGGTACCAAAATCATATTTTAGGGGGAGGAGGTCAGGACAGGAGGAATACACACAACGGGGTCAAACAAAAGGGCACCAAAAGAGTCTAGGGATTCATTTCTGATGTCGCTCCCTTTCTGGACTTTGGAGCGACACAGGCTCACCCCACCTGTGCAAATTTGATCCGGTCCGTCAGACTCCCTTCCAATTTGCCGCAAAGAATTTAGAGTCTAGGCATCGACTTCACATACAGCAACAGTCGTCTTCAGTGTTGGAATGAGAGCCTGGCGCACATCAGTGCGTTTACGTGACCTGCGGAGTACCTCCTGACACCGGCGTAACCACCGATACTATAATTAGCTTTGGAGTGAAAAATGTTCTAGAAGTGAAAAATGCATTCGCTTCAGCTCAGTTTTGGTCCAATTGACTTCGGAAGTGGCTCAAATTGAACCGACAGGTGTGTGTCTTTAGGATATGAAAGAATCTTGACGGAAAACGGATGGATATTGAGCGAGATTCTGCTCTGAGCCATCAAAACCACTGATCCCGCTGTAAAATACGATGCCCTGTAATTTGTAGGCAGCGGATTTTTATGGGATTTGGAAGGGACACTTATAAGGCCTATAGAAGTATACTACTAAAAAATGGAGACAAAAGACGCAGCGGAACGGGAGCTACAGATGAATTTAACACATTGTCACAAGATGTCACAGGGATCTGGCTACCTTTGAATTGTCACGCTCACACGTCCTGCGGCCGTTCCGCCTCGATTTTGGCCCCTGAAATTTTCGAAAAATACTTTTATAGACCGTATAAGTGTCCCTTCAAAGTCCCATAAAAATCTGTTGGCTACAAATTACAGAGCATCGAATTTTGCAGCGGGATTAGTGGTTTTGAGGGCTCGGAGCAGAATCTCGCTCAATATCCGTCCGTTTTCCGTCAAGATTCTTTTATATCCTAGAGCCACACACCCGTTGGTTCAATTTGAGCCACTTCCGAAAGGCAATTGGACCAAAACTGAGCTGAAGCGAATGCATTTTTCACTTCTAGAACATTTTTCACTCCATAGTACTCCGTCCTACGGCGTCCCATAGATATTGACCTGTATTCTGATGTTATCTATCTGATTCTGGTTTGCCCCCTTAATCTTGACCTTCTAACATTCAGCATGGGCGCAAGAAAAACGGGACGCGCAGGAGGAACCTCACAGTCATATCCCAAATCACGGACAACAATCACTCGGAACCCGTGGCCGAGACCTCGGATACCTGAAGAATCCTAAAGCGGTTATCCTCCATAGAGCAAGTGGGGCCGCAATACTTATCTCAATATCACGAACCGGTCAAGTCTTTTTTTATGTACGGTTCTCCTGGGGATCCGGTTTCGGTGTCCCTCACCGTTCAGAGCAAGGACATCGAAGGGCTAACATTGGGACTGACAACCATCTGACAGCCATTGAATTCCATATCATGAAACACTGTGAGGTGTGACACCTCTGTGCTGGCACAATCCCCTGGCCTGGAGGTCGATCTGAAGACTGATATCATCCCAGGGGCCAGGGACCTCCTGAGGCCCTCATGTACTAAGTTCAATTGAGTATGACTTGCTTACAGAACGCACCTATAGAGCGGTTCACTTAGTGACCACCTCTATGTGACAGCCGCCAAATCGGCCGAAGGCCGAAAATTTTATTTATTGTGTACCTCTTTGGGCCGTTTTGGGCAACCATTTTTTACCCAATTCAGCAATACATTGTTTGAAGGCGATCCCTGGTGATTTTTTCCTCCCCTTACAACCTTACTTTCCGCTGCAATATGGGACACAAAAGAAGAGCCACATGGATGCAGCAACTCGTGTGCGTGCGGGTTATCGAGGCAGCCAGACATCTTTGCATCTTTCTTCCCAGGTACCACTGTGGGCTGGCCTTCATCGAATTCTTCTGGGTGATGGTTAAAAAATATCTTCATGAGAATTGCAATTATACTTTTGACACCCTCAAAGAAAATTTGCCGAAGGGTCCCCGTTCTGATGATTCAACGCTGGGAGCACCGCATGCACAGGTGGATGGACACATACCACAGCGGAATGGAGACCCAACAACCGCAGCTGCATGTTCATACATTCAGTTTAAAGTGGTATCAATCACACCAACGCATTCCAGAGCGTGTTGCAAGGGCTTACGATTAGTAGTAGTCATGTTTTGTACCCCTACGCCAAATCGGCCCTCATGAAAGCTTATAAGTCCTTCAAATTTTTAGCAATCGCTTATCTTTCTTAGGGATCTCTTGCCCCAATGAAAAGACGTCGTTCGGCAAGAGGAAATAAAAAATAGACTTTTTTTGAGTGAGTAATAACACTTGTCACGGAGAGGTGGTCACTAAGTGAACCGCTCCATAAATTACCGGAACAAAGGGCAATAGCAGCCACGGACTGGCCCCGAACATGAACTCACGTCACGGACAAGACATAACCCTCCGGCCTCCAGGGGTCCCGAACTTCCCCTTTCACGGTGTCAATGGAGAGTTTGCGGCAGCCACTGGAAGCCACCCAGTGGCTGATCAGGCATACGTGGCCAGTGGCTGTGGCTCATCCAGTGGCTGGCCCGTTGTATACTTCGAGGACACCACATCCTATATGCCCTGTCTAACTAAGGGAAAACCATCCTGGGGTCTTACTGCCGTGCTCACATCTCATTCCTGAGGAATTGAGGGAAGATTTTGCTGTTTTGCATGGGGAGCCAGCGTGAAGAGTCAAATTCAACTTAAGGTGCCCCAGGCGCAGCAATGATGGAGCTACTCACCAAACGACGAAGACATAGGTTCACCTAAATACTGAATCAACCACAGCAACTCACCACTGCATGCCTGATCAGCCACTGGGTGGCTTCCAGTGGCTCTCTAATCAACGTTCTATAATACTATTTTTCACCGAGGCGCATGTTGTTACTGGGTGACTTCCCGTAAGATTTAAATATTCTGGCACATTTTTTGAGCTTAACCGAGGGTGCCAGTGATACGATCAGTGGGCTGGATATTCACGCCATCTGTATTTCCCGCAAGAAAAATAATTTTTTTATACATTGATGGTACACAACCAACCGACCAGCTCACCCCAGAATGTCCCTAGCACTGTGTCGGCATATTGAGGAAGCGCGACGACGGCGTTAGAGCAGATCTTCTCAGAAAAATGACTTTACTGAGATATGAATTATCGTCAACTAAAAGAGCAGATTTTTTGTCTGCAGTCAATGTATGGTACTTGGGGGAAAGCCAGGAGTCCAGGACCTCGAGAAATCAGCGATACTTACGCCTGTGGTATGGCGGTGAGTTTGTGACCAAAGTGACAATGAGTGACGATCAATCATTTCTGCCCCAAAAGAGATATTCGAGGAAAAGAAAGTCTAGACGAGGGGTCCCTACCCCTCGTCTAGATTCAACATATTTCGAGTGATGCGAGAATAAATCGCAGCCGCTTTTGGGTGATGCATTTGATGGGGTCCTGACAGGTTGCTCGGCATCACGGCGGAAATTGCAAAAATATTCCTCACGAATATTTAATGCTTACGGGAAGTCACCCACTAGTGCTGGCCAAGAATATGATACGAAAAATTAAAATTTGAATATATACAGATATGATACGGCTCTGGAGGCTCCATCTGAATATTAATACAACAGAATATGAATATGGATATGATATGGATATGATATGGATACAATATAATACCGGCCTGGTATATTCAAATATATTCAAGTACAGGAAAGTATTGATTTTAGCTGCCGGCTGTCACCGGCTGAGGGTCGGAGCATCAAAAATCTACCAGGCAACATCGGAATCTGACACGGGTGCTGACGGCAACCAGGCACAGAATTTGCTGCTGCCGCAAGCCTGCCGGGCATCTCCGCC